TTGATTTTTTACAGAGAGGAAGGGAGAGAGATAGAGAGTTAGAAACATCGATGAGAGAGAAACATTGACCAGCTGCCTCCTGCACACCCCCTACTGGGGATGTGCCTGCAACCAAGGTACATGCCCTTGACCGGAATCGAAACTGGGACCTTTCAGTCCGCAGGCTGATTCTCTATCCACTGAGCCAAACCGGTTTCGGCTTGAAATATTAAGGTTTATTGCATGTACCATTACTATATTTAAAATTGTTTTTCTTAAAAAAACTGACAAAAAGAATAAAAGAAGAAAGTCAATATAAAAAAACAAACAAACAAAAAACATCCCTATATAACAAATTGGAATGACTTCAAGGTGATTTCCTACTTCAAGTGGCTACTAAAAGGAATTTTTATTTCTCTAGGGGTCTTTTAAATATTGTTAGAATTAACACATACCATCTTTACTTTAATATTACACAGTGTTTGGCTCATGGTTAAATTATAAATCAGTAGAGCAACTGTAATAAAAATAATTCATCTACATAGCAGATTTTTAAAAACATTCTCAACCTTTTGATTTACCATCTGGATAATTTAAACTTGTGCAAGTATGGAAAAACTAGCAAAGATAAATTAGATGCACATAACACTGACATATATACATCAGAGAATAAGAAAAATATCAATTTGCAAACTCGAATTGGAAAGAGGAAATGATAATGGATGCATTAATCATTTGGTGCAAGTTTTCAGGGAAACTTCAGGGTGGATGAATCAAGCTGACAACTCCTGAACTAACTGAACACTCCTAACAATACTATAAATGAATCGAAGCAGATGTACGTCCCACCTGGTAGATAAGAAAAACTAAGATTATTTCATTACCATTTATGAAGCATTTTTTCCAATATACACATATAAGTATGTCAAATTACCAGTGTACAGAAGATATAGGGACAGAGAACACATTCAATGAAACAACTGTCGAATGAGCCAAATCCAGAATATGGGAAATTTTACAGAGCAAATCACATAGTTTCTATTACAAATAAGTTCATAAAAAAAGAGAGGGAGACTATTATAAATAAAAAGAGGCTTGTGAATCATACAACTTATCTTCCAAAATGGGACACTTCTGAGAATGAAAGAAGTTCTATTAACACTTATGCTAGATGACACACACGAACTGGGACTACTCTACTCAAAAGCATCAATCAAATGCAAGGTGTGGACTTATCTTTTCTCAGTATCTTCTTACTTTTAATATTTGGGGGGGGGGGGGGAACAGGATCCAATTCAGGAATCTGAACATGGTCTGAACATTAAACCGTATTTTTAAGGTGATTGATATGACACGGTGACTAGGCTTTGTAAAATAAGTTATGTTAGATATACACACTGCAATACTGCAATGTACATGGGTGAGAGAATATGGTAACTGTGTTCTGTTATAAACACTAGTGGGGGGTGGGGATGGGAGTAGGCCGTGTGGTGAAAATATATGAAATGGTGTTGATAAAATGGTGATAAACGTTGAAGCTGTGTGATGGGCCCTTAGGGATTTGTTACACTACACGCCTCCATTTAATGTAATTGCAGTTACTTTTTTTTCAATTGAATTTATTGGGGTGACACTGGTTAATAAAATTATATAGGTTTCAGGTGTATAATTCTGTAATTCATCATCTGTATATTGTATTGTGTTCACCACCCCAAATCAACTCTCCTTCCACCACCATTTATCCCCCCATACCCTCTTCTCCCTCCTCCCACCCCCATTTCCCTCTGATAATCGCCATACTGTTGTCTGTCTATGAGGTTTGCTTTGTTTTCTGAATCCCTTTGCCTTTTTCACCCATTCCCCTTACTCCCACCCCTCTGACAGCTGCCAGTCTGTAACAGCAAATTTCTTTACAAGTTTAACATCACCCAGCCTGGAAGAAAGCATTTCTGGCTTTGACTTTCTTATGACAACAGGTACACTCCCACAACACTAACTTGCCAAAAACATACTGGTTAGGCTTAGTCATAAAATGGAAATCTCAAAGGGGAATCTTTAAAGGAGGAACAGCTGCTTCGGCTCCGAGGATGTAAAAGTCCGTTTCTGACTGTCCCACTGAAAGCGCTCTGAGTCCCTTCCTGGACTCACAGTGGGTGGTGATGGTGCTTGTGGGCACTGGGATTTGTGAGAACTCAAGCGACAAGGCTCACACAGCTTTGAACATTAAGCTGGGTCAGCAGCTCCAATGTGATATTATCCTATGTTCTTGGCAAAGAATCATAACTTTAACTTCTGCCAAATATAAAATTTATTTTATGGGGTAGAAGAAACTTATAAAGTGTATCTGAGTGAAGTCTCTGTTGTGAAGAGTCTATTTTAATCATGTTTCTCAAGTACAGTTTTTTTGAGAATTACTATTTGGAGAATAGCCCAAAGTGAAAATTTCATCTAAATAGTTACTCATCTTCACCTTGAAATACTAAACAAAGATAAGCAAAGGTTCACAGATTGGCCTTTAAAATGTCTTACTATTTGAAGTACATGTTTTAATAATTTTGTAATTACCTCCTATTAAGACCAATTATAACTTTTCTTAGACCCTCGCCCAATTATTGTTCTGGTTTCCAAATGCAAAATAACACATTTTAGGAGAGTTCTTCATATAGAATGTCTGACTCCACTTCAGGCCAATGGCATTTATAGAAATTAAAGAAAAATCTTAACAAAATATACAACACTTAGATGCACTAAATATATAAAAATACCAGAGATGTATAATATTAATGAAGCTTAAATCAATTACAAGTATAGTTGCATTATACTAAAATAAATTTAAACAAATTCTTCACTGGTTTAGAAGTTCAAGCCATCAAGTCTAGGAGGAAGTCTGCTTTAAAAATACAAGGCAGTGTTAATGAATTTCTGAGAAAAATGCTATCACCAACAATTAGCTCAAGGTGCCTTAACTTTCATTTCCTTTTTGATTCCAGGCACCTAAAGTACATTTTTAAACGAGGAACAGGGAAGTTGGGGTAAGCTGAATAGTATGTTACACCTAAAGCAGTCCATTGTAAGTTTGAGTCATGTGTTCTGAAATCAGCAACTTTGACCTTCCACCACATGTAGATTTATGGCAGTGAGGTGCATACCATGACATTTTTGGATTACAACTACCACAGAAAGTCAAGCAACAATTTCATGTACAAAAAAAATAACTTTCTTAAGCAGATTACTTATAGTTGATTTGCACTCCCTCATGACCCAGAGAGAGAACCTATTTTAAGATAAAATTAGTAAAACCATACCAGTTAGACTAATAGCAAAAAAAAATTTGGTTAGCAATGGGTTGTTGCAATGAGCAATATAGTATTTGCATAAGCTCAGTAAACTATTTTGCAGTTTGATGGATACAGAGGAAAGGAGACTAAAGGAAGAAATGCAAAATCAAAATTATTTTAGAATCAATTGTAAGAAAACTAAGTATGGTAGGATTTCAGTGTAGCATAGTGAATTATCCTATAGTCTCTGAATGTTATACAGGAATGGCATAGTAGAGGAATAATAAAAAAAATTAAGATTTCTCCTGCAAGTGGAGGGAGTTGAAAACAAATAGGAATATAAACAAAAAAACATACTAACACTTGGATGCGCTAAATATATTTAAGTGCAAACCCTGTTCTTCTATTCCAAATATTTATATATTCCTGGGAAAAATGCATATCCTATGGACACTAAATTCTTGAAGGTTTAGACATAGTAGAAATGGAAGCAATTTTGATTACTATTGTGGAAATAATGAAAATAATGAACAATTTTGATTACTATTGTGGAAATAAATGGAAGCCCAAATTGGTTTGGTTCTCTATAACTTCTACTACAGGTCTTATGTTTTGTTTGCTACGTACACAATTATGGTCCTTCACCTGGGAATCCCAAAGTTTCTCAGCAAAAGTCTTTTGTTTCAAGTACTGCCACTTACAAGTGATGTCAATACTTACTAATGTGATGGCCACGCACACAAACGAGTTGTCATTTGCAGCAAGTAGATAGACAAGTATTTTCAAGTTTATGGTGTGACTGAGTTCATGTGGGTACAGACCAGTGATGGCGAACCTTTTGAGCTCGGTGTGTCAGCATTTTGAAAAACCCTAACTTAACTCTGGTGCCGTGTCACATATAGACATTTTTTGATATTTGCAATCATAGTAAAACAAAGATTTATATTTTTGATATTTATTTTATATACTTAAATGCCATTTAACAAAGAAAAAAATCAACCAAAAAAAATGAGTTCACATGTCACCTCTGACACACGTGTCATAGGTTCGCCATCACTGGTACAGACACTTAGCAAGCTGGTCCTAACTAATCCTATGTTATCTGAAGGTACAAAATATGAATGACATCATCTCACACTGTCCATGTTAGCAAACACAACCTCCTATTGCATGACTGTGAAGCAGGCATTTTGACCCCCATTTTATAAATGTGAAAATGCAGATTCAACTCTCTTCCCTCCAACCAACGATCAGGCTTTGCTATCCGTGGGAAGAGAGAAAAGGTCCTGGCCTCACTTACTCTTCGTTCAGGGCACACCGCCGGTTGGTGAGCGTGCCGTACTTCCTCAGCGTCTCGGTGAGCTCCGAGTAGAGTTTGTCAGCCAGAGTCAGGGGGATGCCTTCCCACACCAGGATCAGAATCACAATCACTGCAGCCTCACAGGTATGGCCAGCTCGCTCCCGCACCAAACACAGTAGCTTCTCCTCGCTGCTGCTTCTGCGCACCACCTGTGCAGGTCACCATTCCACCCCAACACCCCCCACCCCAACCAAAACAAGACAAGGGTCACTTGCAGCAGATGTCAGCATTGATTTATGTATGCATATTTTCTCACGTCTGGGTCATAGGGCAACATTTACCCTCCCCTGCAACTTGCCTTTTGTAGCCCATGTACAAAGTGGGGGTTTACCCTGGGGTCAGAACTGGGAGAGGTGAAAAACTGCTCAATGTTTAGCTGACTACTGCATACCCAGCAGAGTTGGGGCAATGCTCCCCGAATTAAAGCCAGAGCTAGAAGGAAGACATGCAGGTCTTTTTCATAAAGATCAAGGTTTTCATAAATGACGTGAAGATATTTAAAGGAAGAATTATACTTGTAGCAGGTGCCTGAGTGGACCTCCTTCTCACCATTCAATTCTTTCAATTAAATATGGTTAGCGTATAATTATAAAACTAATCTGTCTTTTTCTTAAGAGATAGCACATGATAAAATAAATATAAGCAATATTCCTTTTAGCTGGTATAAATAACTCTTTGATCTGGGTTAACATAATTTTTTCAGGGTTAAATTTAATGAATGAAAATGCCCCGAATTGAAGACCAAAAGCCCTGTCAGGTCACACTTACCCATTTGGCAATAGGACATCCCTGAGAACTTTTGCCTTCTTTACCAGTATAGATGACTCTTTCAATCCTAATAGCTTTACCCTTCTGTCCAAACCTTAAAGAAATCCACAGAAACACACACACATAAAATTAGCAAATGGGCCTAAAAGATACCCAAAATATTGAACATCTGAGTGTAATTTTACTCTATTACCACATCCTGAGAAATAAATGGTTTATTTATTTTTTTAAAGTTTATGCCAAGCAAACTAGATAATAGACTTTAAGCCTTGTTTTTCTTCAGTGTAAGAATATACTGATAATTGTAATGAACTATTTCAAAATTATATGTTAGGTGAAAATAATGGGAAAACTTAGTTTTATACATAATTTCACAAAGCACAAGACTTTTTTTAAGTTTGCTAAATTCAGTCTTCTAAGATATATACTATTTGGTTTTTGTCCTTTAACTAAATTTAGCTATTTTAAACATAGGGAATCATAATAGATTTTAGTTATAACTGTTCCTCAAAGAATCTCACATTTTTAAAAAGGAAGCTGGCAAATAACTAGTATCCAGCAATACTGAGAATATAGGATAGTTCTAGAAATTGATTATATTTTCCCTTCTGACCAAGGTACTACTTACTACTTGTTAATAAATAAAAAGGGGGGGATGAAATGATTAGTAAATTTCTACATGCTAATTTGGAAAAGGGGCAAGAATGATGCAAAGTATGTCCTTGCTGCCCAGCATGTCTCCTAATGTATTTCAATGATAACACTGCCTACCTCTTAGAGAAAAGGCATCCTAGCATAGTAACAGCTCAAGAGCTGTGGATACCTATATGAATGTCTCTCTGCATTGAGTATCTCGCTCTTAAAAGTCTTCTACATGCAGGAGTAACTATAGGTTCAGGTAAGTACTTGCATACCTGTGACTGACAGTAAAAAAAGAAAGTGCAACTATAAATAGAATGTCTCTATTTCTATTCAGTATATCACACTTGCCCTTTGCTCAGACTGGGGACAACTTCCTTAGAGAGGACTACGCCTTTACAATTCTAGGTGAATTTAACTCAACGGGTTCCTTTCTTAAACCACACGTCCCCCCTCTTCCTCTTTGACACTTTATCGCCCAGTGGGAGAGCCACAGTGGGGCCTCTCACTGCAGCTTGTGCCAGCACCCTTATGCCTGGCAAGCAGGATGATTCTTGCTCATGCCTGGGTTTTCTGGCACCCATGTCAAAGTGGGCAGCCTGTGCCAGCTCGCAGACTCTTGGTCCTGTCAAATATTGTGACTCCCTGGTGAATAGCACAGTATGCAGGGTTGGCAACCCTGGAATAGCTAAGCCTACTAGTAATTACTCAATTTACGATTGTTTACTGCTTTGTGTGTGTGTGTAAGCTGGAAAAAGTCTGACATATACAAAAGGATAAACGTTACTCTGCCCTGTGCCTTTGCGTTAATTACCTTTCTTCCATGATTTCTCTAATAGCTGCCACATTAGGACCTGCTCCTAGATGGGTATAAAAAGGACCTTCATCTTTTTCAATAATTTGCTCTGTTGAGATAATAGAAGATTATTATTTTAGACCTCAATTATACTAAATATAAAGGCTACATCCACAAAGCTTATCCCCCAACTGCACATTAAGGGCCCTAAATGTGACTTTACACATTTTTCCCCCCCAAATGAGTAAATTAAGGGAGTCATTTATTAGAAAATGTGTGAAATAATTAAGTATATGCATATGTTGGCTGTTGGATAAAAATGTATTAAATTATATTTCAGATATGGACTAAGAAATTATTTTATACCAAATGCATGGAACCAACGAAGAAAAAGGGTGGGGATTATAATATATTATATGTAATATCAACTACAATTGGTTTTGTACACTAAAAAAAGTTTTTATAGCTAACTGGAATTCTGCCTGCTACTTGGATGTTATAAGATTAGAATATAATTTCCTATCTTATCTCGCCCCTACGTGATTTCTCAGTTTATTGTCAAGATACCTTTTTCTCCTCTTGTCTCCCCACAACATTTTATCACTCTGTTTTGAAATTAAAAACATTGACTCCAGACCCATATTTGTACATACTTTAGAACAATTTTTAAAGTGAAAAAAATACTGGAGTGGGTCAGGTAAAAGGAGAGGCTCCTGTCAAAGATGAGATGTGGGGGAGAAAAGGGTTAGGGTGATGGGAGAAGGGAGTGAAGGTGGTTATAACTTACCTAATATTATCTATGACATGTGTGGCACTTAGCCCAGTGAGGCAACCTAATCCTGACCACACACAAAGGGACAGTAGGCATCCTCCCTCATCGCCTATAAGATGCAGGGTGTCCCATCATAAGAGGAATAACATGGGGTGGGTGGACCACTAGCCACATTAGTTTGACATGTTTTTTTCAAATGTCTTCTACTATACCCAAGCTGTATAGCTATTATTAAGATATCCACATATATGTATAAAATCTGCATCGATCAGCAAAATGTTTCCTTATTCCAACAGACCTGTCATGTATCTTGAATTTTAACAAAAAGGTGTTTGTTTCAAAAATAGGAAATTACATATATTTATAAAAAAGATAAAACTTTAAAGAGAAAATAGAATCAAAATGAATATAAATCACACAATATTTCAAGTATATAAATGGAGAAAGGGCAACTTCATGAATATTCAGAACTTCAAGCATTACAATTTCCCCCAACTCAACAAGACTGAAAATAATTTCTCCCTTATAGAAATTAGCCTTGTAAAACTAATACCTTCAACCCCAAATTAAAAAATATTAAAAGCTTGTACACTAGTTTGCATATGACAGTTATTTTTCTCATTTTAATAGATGTTTTTACTGCCTAGCTGTCTCTCCAAAAAATTATTTATAAAGACAAATAGATTAATTACTCTATAGCAGATAGCTTTATATTTTAAAGGGTTTGAATACAGAGAAAATTAGCATGCACAATTGTTTTAATATTTTGAAAAAAACTGAATGTAAGTGAAGTTCTTTCTTGCACAGCACAGCATTTGTAATTCAAAGACAAGAAATGTAAGCTTCAGATTTTTATGAGCCTTTAAAAATTGCTGCCAGACTAAAAAAAAAAAAAAAAGAAAGTCCCATATCTAAAGATGAATTTGCTAATTCTGGATAAACACCATATGTCTCAGAACATTTTTGGCACTTACCTACACATCTGCATGATGGGAAATCATATTGAGTCTTGACAGGTGTATCCAATAAATTTTTTATAGGCGTATCTAGTAATTTGGAAGGTGACTCTAAAAAATTATTGAGAACAGAACCAGCTGTTCTTTTGGTTGGTGTCTTTTCTGACGGAGTTGCCTGCTGCTCTAAAGCTGGGGTGTGGCTATCGAGTTCTGCAGCACTGGTATGTCTAGATAAAACTGTGACTGGCCCTGACATTTCAACTTTTACTTGCTTCTGTGATTTGAGAGTAAGAGCCTTATGGTCAAATAGTGATTTGACCTGGAACTGCTTCAGGTGTTGCTCCATGGTCTCCAGAATGCTCCTCTGCTGCACATTATCACAGCTCAGGGGTGGAATCTCTTGCTTAGTTATCTTTTTCCACATTTTGTTTTCTGGCTGTGCTGACTTGGGGTGCATACAGGCATGGGGCTTGGATCCAGGTTCAACCTTAATTGGCCTGTGTGCCTGATTGTGGCAAGACTCAGTTTGGGGTTGTTGGTTTTGCTGCTGCTCTTGCTTCTGTAAGAGGTGCCATCTCAGAGCAGCGTGCTTTTGAATGTCCTTCTGGGGAGGGGTCTGAATGTGACCTCCTCCTTGTTCAGGCACAGTGAAAGCGTTTGCTTGGTTGTGCATCAGGTACCTTTGCTGAGTGAATTGTGTACCTTGTTGGCCAGACAAATCTTGGTTTTTACTTTTATATCCCTGCAGAACGGAAGCCTGCGGAGGCTTCTGTCCTTGTTCTTGAAAGCACCTGTGAAGACCATCTTGTTTTGTGGTCACATTATTTGGAAAATATTGCATGTGATGCAAGTTTGGGGTCTTGTTTCCAGAAAAATGTTCAGGATGTAAAGTCTGTTCTGTATTCTTTGAAGCTGGGTGAATGTTGTTTGAACAAGAAATCTGTACTTTGCTTGCATTTGACTTCAAGATATGACCATAAGGGGAATTTCTACTGTTCATATTCTGTATGTGCTCCAATCCCATTTGGGTATTATGAGTCTGAAACTCACTTGATTTTGAATATTGATTTTCACCATGAAAGCATTCTTCCACTTTAATCTGGCTAAAGAACGATCCTTCCCTTTGCTGACCACAGTTGCCTTGGGGATGAGAAAAAGTATGGGGCATTTGTTCTTTATTCTCCATGTGTAATTTTTGCTGTTGCTGCTGGTTTTGAGGGAGATGTGAATTCTGGGATGTCTGTGTTTGTGCTGCCTGATTATGAGACTTGTGTTGCAAAAGATGTGAGTTTGAGAAGGGCTCCGTCTCTGAAGCCTCTTGATTCAAGTGCTGCTTTAATGGTGAGGGCATGAGTTTCTTATGCTCGGAGTCTGGTCTCTGTTGAAAATGAAACCTAGGGGTGCACAGTGACTGCGTGTGAGCTTCAGGGGAAGGGTCTGTCTTGGAGAAGTGCACCTGGAGTGAGGGTTTTTGGAGCTGGAGATGCTGGTCCACTGTACCTTGAGACTGCCCATGATTCATCTCAAGTTGGTACCTTTGTGGCCTCTGCTCTGGCTGCATCATTTTCTGGATGCAAGCTTGCCCTGGGAGCCCCCCAGGCATGTTGGAATTTCCAGTGTATTGTTTGGAGGTCATGTGATTGGAGGAGTTGGGCTGATACTGAAGAACTGACCGCAGAGGTGCTTTATATTTTAGATGGGATTCTGCTTGAGGAAATTGAGGGGTCTTCAATTCAATCCATCCTGGTTTCAGATGGGGCTGTGTTGGGAGCACAAGATCGAGTGTTTGTTGCTTATCTTGACCCTTCAGAACCTCCTGTTCTGTGTGCCCCATCAGCTGCTGGCAGTGGTCCTGTGGCCCTCCACTGCTACCGAGAATTGGTGGGTTATGCTTGGGATGTTCTGGTGTTTGTCTTGCTTTCTCAGGACACAATGGAACAGTCATTGTTCCTGGAGTCCGTATGTCATTCTTGTTAGCACAATTATTCTGAAGCCTTTCTGGAAGCGTCAGAGAGGGGATGGATCCATGTGTAGGTGGGTTAGGACTCTGGGATGGTGGTGCCTCCGGTTCACCCTCTATGTTCACTTCCCTTAAAAGAGCTGTGTTACTTTGGTTGGGGTAGTGATGGTGTTCTTCCACAACACCGTCACTCAGAGTGCTTTTTCCTTCTGAAGGAAGCGGAGGAACCTCTGGAAGAGGAGGCGACAAAAGCAACTGTGATGGTGGTGGTGTGACAGTGGCAGAAAAGGAATCCTTAGAGAACACTGAGGTTTGCTTGAAGTAAGCACCATTCATTTCATTTTGCTTGAAATACCGTTCAGAGCTGCCACCAGGAGCCTGCAAAATGCTGCTGGAACCTGAACAGAATTCTTCACCAGCCACTAGCTTTGTGGTTCCTTGGATGTTACCGTTTTCTGCAGGAGATGGGCATATCTCAAAAACTGGTTTTTGTTGTTCTGGTTTCTGAAAGGAACAGGTACCTAGCATTGCAGCTGGTTTACTGACATTATCAGCGTCACAGGCCTCAGTCATGACTGCAGCTGGCTCTGGAGGCAGCTCAGAGTTCGAGGTCTGTGGGAAATTGGTCTGCCCTGAGGTATACAACGGGTGAGTGATCTCACAGGACAACTCATTAATAGCCGGACTGTTAATGGCATGTATGTGAGATGTGGTTTTCTGCACCGCAATGGAAACACAATCTGGGTAATATTGAGACAGTGTTTTTTCCAGGAGTTCACCATGTGTGTTTTCCATGGAAGAGGCAGAAACTGTAGCACCATTAGGCATTAGCACTGACTTGTTTTTAAGAAGTAATACAATGTTCTTGTCATGGTAGTTCTCATCTTTGCCCTCCTGCTCATTCAGAATCTGATGCTCTGCATTTTCAGACCCACTCGAGTTGTGTGTTGAAAAACTGGTGGTATCTTTAACTGCATTTTCTGGGGCCACAGAGCTCACAGATTCTCTCTTGTCATTCATATCGGAGACATTTGGTTGACTGCTGCCTTTGCCTGGATTTCTTTCTTGTCTTTCCCCGAAGTTCTTTCCTTCTCCATTGGCCTTTTGGTCTTGTTTCAACTTCTTGTTCTGATGGAGCCCAGAGAGAGAAGGTTCACTAACTGTGCGTTTTATCCCTCCATTCTGCAAACACCGGGAATACCCTCTGCCTTCTTGTATAAAGTCCGGGCTGACACGACTATTCTGGCTGCCCTTCATATGGGGTGTTCCATAATGACCTTTGAAAGATTGCCACTTGGTGTCTCCATTCACTTCTGGATAAGGTCTCTCTGGTAATGGGCTTCCATTCTGGAGCTTTATAGCCAGAGGTTCTGTCTGGCAGATGGGAGAAGGAGATGGTGTCAAGAATGGACTTAGTCTGTTGCCCTCCACATGGTTGGTTCTATCCTGTTCCATCAGGCTTGCTTCGGGGCCATCCACAAGGCTGCCCTCAGAGTGAATTCTAAAGAGCACAGAGACAAAAATGAAAGTGCATTAATACATGTCTGACTTGAATAATGCATCTTAGAGAATTAGCACGTTGTTAAGAGTACTGGAATTCTTAGACATAGTAAATTGTAATACTCATTTTCATGGAAGACCAGTAGCTGATTACTCTTGCCCGGCCAGCATGGCTCAGTGATTGAGCACTGACCTATAAACCAGAAGGTCAGGGTTTGATTACTGGTCAGACCACATGCCTGGGTTGCCCAGGTTGCAGTCTTGATACTTGGTAGAGGGCATGCATGAGGCAGCCAATCAATGATTCTCTCTCATCATTGATGTTTCTATCTCTCTCTCTCTCCCTCTCCCTCCTTCTCTGAAATCATAAAATATATTTAAAAAATAAAATGATTACTCTTGTCCTCCCAATTACTATTGCCATTGCCATAGTTATGGTCACAGAGAATGAAGATAATCAAAATCACCAGCTCATGTGCGAAGGTCATTCTGCATTAGTAAATATTAACCACTTCTTTCCCAAATAATTCTTCGTATCAAAATGCTAAGAACAGTGGAGAAAGACTACCTCCATTCTGTCTTCTCTAGCGCCTTGCATAGCAAATCACTAGCTAAGCTATCAATTCTATTTTCTATATATTCCTTGAATTTTCTTCACTGATATTTGGTAGCCAGCTTTACATATCTTGGTTCATTGCCCATTGCAGTAGCTTTTTAAAGGGTTTCTCTCCTAGCCCAGTCTGTCCTCACCAGTCCCCAATGCTCCTTCAAATAGTTCTCAAAGAGAAGGTTCTAAAATGCAAATCTGATGTCATAGCCTCCTTACTGTTGTCTGCCCAGAATACCTTCTTAGTCCCCCAATTTGCCCAGAGACTCTTCTACATTCCTCTAAAACTATCTCAGATATCACATTCCCTAGGAATCCTCTTTCGGTTTTCCAAGAGGATTAAACATTCCCAATTCTATACTGTTTCTATTATGTTTCATAAGGTCTACAGTAAACATACCATATTCAATTGTATTCTACTCTCTTCCTGAACTGTAAACTCCTTAAGAATACTCTACTCTGTTCATATTTGTGCTTAGTATAAAGTAAGCATTCAATCAGTTTCAAATGTGCTCACCTTATGATTATTTCTTCATTCATTCATTCATTCATTCAAACATTTTTTAGACCAATACTGATGGAAATTTCAAAGTCCAAATGATAGAAAGAACAGGAAGAAATGGGCACTAAAATACATAAATAATCCATTAGATAAAGTAAATGCTGCCCTGTTCATGATATAGTTATGCCTTATTTTCCCACAGTTTTTCTCATTACATATATTTTAAGAATGTGGATGAGAGCATGAGTGGGGGGGGGGGGGGTTGGGGGTTAATGGGAAATGAAGACACATTTGTAATACCTTAACCAATAAAGAAATTTTTTAAAAAAGAATGTAAGTTTTTTAAAAAAATCAAAATTACTTTGCCTCTGGGCTATTAAAAAACCCATTGCTTATGTTGCTTACTAACCAAGACAAATGAAACAGAAGAAGAAATAAGATATTAACACTGGAAAGCAACACCAAAGTTAAAATTATTTGCAGATGATAAGATTGTACACTGGTCTACCAAGAGAATCAACTGAAAAACTATTAGAATTTATCAGAATTCAGTAAAGTAGCTGAAGAAAAAAAATCAATAGCCTTGACATATAAAAGCAACAACCAGTCAGAAATGTTAGTGGAATAAAATACAGTAATAGATACTTCTAAAAGGACATGAAATGGCCATGATATTGATTATTAAATATATATATATGTGTGTGTGTATATATATATATGTATATATATATATATATATCACCAGAAGTATACTTCACAAGAAACATGGAAAACCTATTAGAATAAAAGTTTAAAACAAGTAGAAAGGTATATGGTCTTTTATATTGTCAAATTAAAGTATTCATTCAATGTACTCTAAATAAAAATGCTAGCAGAATGTTTTGAGGAATGAAAGAAGCTGATTCTAAAGTTAGTGGGGGGAAATAAACAAATTGAATGGCCAGGAATAACCTGAAAAAGAGCCATAATAGAGCCTGAACAGGGCAGTAGCCACTTTAAGAGATATTTAAAAGCAAGTAAAGCTATCATACTTAAAACAGCTTGTACGTATACATTGATAGGTGATAGAGTGCTATTAAGGCCAATGAAATAAAATGTCCAGAAATAGATAAAAAAGAAATATGGTTTGAGGTAATGATGACATTTCAAATACATATATTAAAACAATTGGGTAGTCATCTGAAAAAAAATGATAAAGTTTAATCTATCCCTGATACCCTACATGAAAATGAATTTTAGATGAATTTAAAATATGAATATGAACCCCCTAAATTAAAAGCAGTCTAAGAAAACTGTCTAAAAATTATCTAATGACTAAGTTATTTGTGACCCCAAATCTCAAAGGCATAACATACTAGAAAGTTCAATAAAATGTATGCATGCAAAAGTAAGCCCATAAGCAAAGTTAAAAGTCACATAAAACGTTTCTTAATATATAGAACTCATAGAAAATGTCAAGAGCCCCGATGATCCAATAGAAAAATGAACAAAGGACGTGGACAGTTCACAGAAAATGAAATGAAATGGCTCTTAAATATTTAGAAAATATGCAGCATCACTAATAAAAATAAGTACAAATTAAAACTAAAAATATTCCTTTTTTTTTAAATTGGAAAAGATAAAAAAGTTTGATAATACACTATGCTGACTAGCATTTAGTGAAACAGACACTCTCTTGTACGGTTCTTGGGAGTCAAAATTAATACTAATACAATGGAAGACAATTTAGCAACATCTACAGAATATCACAGGAACTTTTTTTGACCCTTTAGTTTCAAAAACTTACCTAACAAGTATGCTCATATATATGTTAAATGATGTATGCACAATCTTTTTCAATAGCAAAAGGAAACAATGTATAATTTCAGATTGAAATATTTCCAACTAATTAAATGAAAGGAAGCAAGCTGCAGAACAGTATGTATAAGAATGCCACACATGTACATTAAAAAAAATAAAAAATAAAGTCAGCTCTGGGAGAATATACAACAAACTGGTAATAATATTTTGCCTCCAGGAAAAGGACTGGGGAGGCTAGAAGAATAGCACTGGGAAGAAGATTGCTTTGAACTGTTTGCTGTTTCTGTAACTTTTAATCATGTGTATCCTACATAATAAAAGCGTAGTATGCAAATTATCCCCTTGACTGAGAGATCGTCCAGGAGTTCAACCGGGGGGTGGGGCGGGCTGGGGGAAGGGAGGGAGGCCCCGGCTGGCAGCTGGCAGCCAGCAGTTGCTAGGGACCCAATCAGTGCACAAATTTCGTGCACTGGGCCTCTAGTTAATTAATAAATAAAATTACATAATTCCTACAGGACAAAAGAAAAGGAAAAACAGAGCCAAGGGATGTCTTCATTTCTAAGAGACCTCCTTGCTTTTAAATAATTAAGAGATGGCCTATTAAATGCATAGCCACTAGTCACATATTGCTATTGAGGAAATGAAATGTGGTTAGTCCAAATTGAGATGCACCACAGTGTAAATGCACACTGCATTTTAAATACCTTAGTGTGGAAAAAACAAAAAAACAAAACAAAAAAATAAACAAAGAAAAACAACTCAATTTTTAAAACTATCATTTGACTTTGGGCTCAAAGCTAGACTAATACTTTTTTTTTAAAATATATTTTATTGATTTTTTACAGAGAGGAAGGGAGAGGGATAGAGAGTCAGATACATCGATGAGAGAGAAACATCGATCAGCCGCCTCCTGCACATTCCCCACTGGGTATGTGCCCGCAACCAAGGTACATGCCCTTGACTAGAATCGAACCTGGGACCCTTGAGTCCGCAGGCCGACGTTCCATCCACTGAGCCAAACTGGTCAGGGCTAGACTGATACTCTTAATCATCGATAACCTTAACAAAAAATTCTAGGTTCTAGAATCATAAAAATCGATTTTTTTAATTAAATGTGAGAGGATTCTCCAAAGTGAAGGTACTACCATTTTTCAAAAATTAAGGGGCATAGAAATAAGCCCAGATTAGATCAATTAGCTTTCCAAATAGTACAATAAAATATGTCTTCTTTTGACAACTGCAAAATCAATTCACCAGCTGCCAGCCGGGGCCTCCCTTCTTCCCCCAGTCTGCCCCACATTAATGTTATGATCTATATGGTATTTGCATGCTCTGTATACGATGCAGATTGTCCTATTTTTCTAGATATAAAATATTTTAAGCATTTTTATTCTCTATTATGATCCATTCCACACAATTTGGACATTCTTTAAAATGTCAAAGGCAGAATTACAACAGATGGAGTTTGCAAATCTTTTATGAGCATACTAGCTCCTAAGAAGAAATGAAGGTGATTTTCAATGAATTTTTTTTTTTAAGAGAGAGAGAGGAAGAGGAAGATAGAAGAATCGATGAGTCGGCTGCCTTCTGCACAGCCCCTATTGGGATGGAGCCTGCAACCCAGGCAGGTACCCTGATCAGAAATCCACCTGGCAACCTGTTGGTGCATGGAATGATGCTCAATCAACTGAGCCATAGCAGCCGGGCAATGGGATGTATTTTAATATGGAGTTTTAAACTCAATAGCCATTTAAAAATACTAATTTAAAGTAATTATCATAACTACTCTGTGACAGCAATTCTTTTAGTGAGCACAACTATTAGATATGGAAAGTTAAATGTTTAGTTTTCTCAGGGAGGGCAGAAAAATTATGAACCTTTCCATTTTAGGATGAGGATATTTTTTTTATTTGAAGCTTATTTGTTATAAACCTATGAATCTGATTCAGAAATTTTAAACCAATCAAGTGCCTTTTTAGAGGGAGAAAGAGAATTATTTTCTTTGACTTCAATGTGTCCCAAACCACACTTTGTATGTATACATATCCCGGGATATTGTATGATCCACTAACCCACTTGCACAGCACTCTTT